TTCCTAAGATATTCAGATTTCCTCTGACACGTATTTGAAATCATTTACTTGGCATGTAGCAAAGTTGTAAAATGTTACTATCAATGTCCCAGAGTTGCAATCGGACCCAGAGTTGCAATCTGGCAAATATATCCTTTCGTTTGAGCGCAGTTTTTATGCGTTATTCTTCAAAGTTTTAATCTGAGCTCTCATATATGTATGCAAGAGTTCTATCAACTTTTTAACAAAGTTAACAAAAAATGAAATATTCAGGATTTTTGACAATATCGAAAACAGTGCTGACTTCGAGTTGCGACTCTACTTCTTGATTTTTAGAGAAGCAAGGAATTTTTTTATGACCACCAAAATTTCCCACATCCATCTATATCTATATATCAATAGAATATCACCTTTTATTGGGGACAAACTGAGTTGTGAGTTGTTCGAGAAAGCAATTTTGAAGGAGGTGCAAACGAGCGTGACCAATTTCAAACTCCGCTGGACAGATGTTTGATGCCGATGTGCAACCAATTGGCTCTTCGCTTCCGCGTTCACCATCATTCTTCGCAGCTGGTCCTTTCGGGGTGCTGCTGTTTCGCGCTGAGCCGTAACACTCTTTTACTTAATTTATTCTACCTAGATTCATACATGCACTTACGTAGAACTGACTTCGCTGTTGCTCGCTCCGTAGAACCAAATTTGCTGTTGCTCGCTTTCAAATTGCTATTTCGATACCATGAAATGTATGTAATTGTCCTGTAGATCATTGAAATTACAAGCCTGTGTTGTAAAATAAGCACAGAGTCACTATTCTCGCTTTGTCGCAAAAAGTTGCACCTCTCGGTAAGGTGAGATGCCGACGCTGCCGGGCACCTGTCACAATCTGTCACGATTGCAACTCCTGCCATTTTCTAAGCTCAAACCGGCTTCCTATTGGCTATACTTTGAGAGCCTCTAAAATCCCCAACCTTGGTTATATCAAAGTTTAAGGTATTTATTTATTAATTCCAAAATTCTGTGGCCAAATGTGAAGAATTGACAAATTTTCTGTATACCGACATTTTCGGTTGCAACTCTGGGACATTGATAGTACAACAAATGAATTTAGAAACAGCTGAAAGATCCGACTCCGTTGTCATAAAACCCCGGAAAACCCCCTCCGAACTTAGTTCCGCGATTTTTCAAAGTCGGGGTTTTTTCCGGGACACCTTTCGGCCCAAATCTTCCGGGACACGGCCTCAGACCTCCGCAAAGTGCCAAATTTTACGGGACGATGGTACAAAGGTCCAAAGTTACGTGCAAAATTTCGAATTTTCACCTATTTTTGCAAAATTTTCGCCTCAGATTTTAGCGGTTGTCGATGCCGGCGCCATTTTCTATGCTCAATCATGGACTAGTAGTGCTATACTGGCACTCAAAACTGATTGACCCCCCTCCAAATTGAGTAGCATATTCACACGGGGCTCAGATCCTTAACCTCGGGGGAAACTTAATATTGTAGTAGTAGAAAGTATATGAAAGGTCTCTATGACAGAAAAAAGTAAGCAGGAGGCTGAGTTTGCTGCTTGAGAACTGCTGGCTCAGCAAACATCGAGGAAGAGAAGGGTTTGAGCCCCCGTGGGAAACCACCTACCCAATTTGGGGGGTCAATTAGTTTTGAGCGCCAGTGTACCTTGGTATCTGAGCTTTCCTTCGGCGGGGCCCAGACCCTCCAAAACCTTGAAAATCTCCGGAACAGGATCAAACCCCCTCTAAAACTCCCTAATTTTTCGGGCTAAAGGGGGTCAAACGTCGGTGCTAAAAGTGCCAAAATTTCCGGGACATGGACCTATCCTGGGTCCCAAAATCTCAAAAATTTTCCGGGACACGGAACTAAGTTCGTAGGGGGTTTTCCGGGGTCCTGTTGTCATACAGTTCCCAGAGTTCGTGCACACAAAACATCGCTTAATAGCAACGCACATCACTTGTGCCTTGACACGAGACAGTTTCCCCTGGGCAGACTCGAAGTCGGATCTCCTTCGGTTCCTTTCTCAATCTCTTACCACTTGCGTCTCCGATGGCTGCCATGATAATCCCAGCTTTCATGATGTTAACTTTACTCTGGCTTATTTTGAAGCTGCGCAACATTGGAAAACGACATCCCTCCCTACCTCCTGATCCTCCAACCGTACCGCTACTTGGGAATTTAAACAAATTTCCTACAGAATTTGCCCATGTCAAGTGAGATTCTTTGGCAGCTTCGAGTAACAAGTAACTATTTGATTTGTTGTATCCAAATTTACAGAATGGACAAGACAGTACGGCAATATCTATTCTCTTAAGATTGGACCTAGGACTGTCATCGTGCTTACAAGTATGCAAGCCGTGAAGGAGCTACTGGAAAAGCGAAGTGCCAGCACTGTCGATCGTCTTTCCAACTTCATGGCGGACAACATTACCGGTGGACTGAATGTAGCATTTGCAAAATACGGTGGGTACACGGGCAGATGCATACTGAGAGCCTCAAATTGGTGACAGTCAATTTGTGGGCACTGCAGGGGAAGAATGGCGAGTTTTGCGAAAAGCTACTCATGCTATTCTCACACCGAAGGCGGCTGCTACTCATGTACCTATCCAGGCCAGTGTCCTAAATTCTCACGCCACCAGATTTTTAGTCTGAATATTTAAAAATTAGAGGGCAGAATCTATCCAAATGATGTACGATTTCCGCAAGACTCCAGATGTACATACTATTATATATTCAATCACAATTTAGGCATTGACTCGATCGCGATCGTTAAATTGTCAGCACTTCTACGCGCATCTCCGCCGCTACTCCAACTCAGCTATCATGTCCGTCTTGTACGGAAAGCGTTGCCCACGATATGAAACTCGTGAAGCGACATTATTTTTCGAGGTGCAGCATCTCTGAGAGCTGGCACTCGAACCTGGAGCTCATCCACCCGTTGACACTCTTCCATTCTTGCGGTATATTCCTCGCAGATGGGCACCTTGGAAGGATATGTGCGAGAAGACAAGGAATTTGCAGCGGGATTTGTACTTTGGACTGCTGGACGAATGCGAAGGGAGGATGAAGGAGGGAGAGGAAAATGGATGTTACATGGAAGAAATCATCAAGCATCGAGAAGAGCTAGGTTTGGATAGGGAGTTAGCTGCGTAAGCGCGATTTGGCCTCAAAAAGGTTGATTGGTATTGATCAATGAGCGGCCTTGAAGATATCTTGGAGGCGCTATGATCGAAGGCGGATCAGATAGCACCTCATCGCTCCTTCAGTCATTGTGCCTACTTCTAGTTGCATTTCCTGGTGTTCAGTGCAAAGCGCAAGAGATGGACCGTGTCGTCGGAGATCAAAGGATTCCCACCATCGATGATGCTGCAAGACTGCCATATATTCAGGCTTTGGTGAAGGAGGTGAGTGTATGCGCAATTCTTGTTGCAATTGAAATTAAATATGACCGCAGACACATCGAATGAGACCTGTAGTACCGCTGGGGGTTCCTCATCTAAATCGAGAGGCGGAACAGGTGCATTTTGGATCTTAATTGAGCAAAACTATGGTCCTGACAAAAATCGAAGTACGGTGGATTTCTAATTCCAAAAGGTTCTACTATTTTCGTGAATCTGTGTGAGCTCTTCTTTCTCTTCCTCTTTATCATATTTGAAATTAACTGTAATTAAGGGGGAATGTTTCATGATCCAGGAAAGTTAGGATTATTTACTTCTGGGGAAAATACTAAATGTCAGATGAATAGATATATTTGAAAATCCAGAAGTCTTCAACCCCGACCGATACATCAACAACGAATTTGGGACCAAGGCAGGAGTGGACACCAGTAATTTCCGCACAGGCATACCATTTGGATGCGGAAGGGTCAGTTCCAGAACACTCTGCTTCTTGGAAAACACTTAATATCTGTCTATCTCAGCGTATTTGCCCTGGAATCCACCTTACCACCAATTCGCTGGTATGAACCTTTGTTTTATCCGAGTCCATGATCGCGCATAGTAATGAAGACCTGTATGTTCTTAGATTATTGCCGCAATGAATCTTGTCTGGGCCTTCAAATTTGAGCGTGCAGTGGACTCAAGATCAGGACAAGCCATCCTAGTCAGTATCTCGGAATATCAAAAGGTGAAGCGTCTTTACATTCTATTTAACTTGGGTGTATGCTCAATATCAATGTCAATTCCGCGCAGGGTATGCTGAATTCTCCAAAACCATTTAAATACAAAATCACTTGCCGTAGCTCTAAACGAGAAGAACTCATTGAGAGAGAATTCCATAATGCTATTCATGTCTTTGAAAAGTTTGAGGGCAATCTAAGTGATGATGATAAAGCATGGCTGAAGGTCATTCGCAGTTCGTTGTAATTACTGTAAGTCTGTAAACCATGGATTGTCAATCAAATCACGCCTCGAACCACAGACCCGGATATCCGACCACAGATATGATGCCACTGGCGACGAGTTAGGGCCAATCAGGACCCAACTCTGAAAATTCAAGACTCAAGTAGCCGAGCAAGCTTATTACTTGATGGTGTATTTTACACAATGTAAGCCTTCCGGATCCTGTGGCGGGATAGCCCGCTCGAAGACGCCGCAAGTTTATAACAGTTTGACAGATACTAGCCAATCATTGTCACTCGGCAAGGCAGCTAAGGTATCCCATCTTTCGGTTTGTGTTCTCCTATCATCCTCAACCAGCACTCTTCTGTCACGCATGAAGAGATTAATATTTACACCGTCGGCTCTGGACAAGCTACAACTCTTTTCATGTTCTTGACCGTACGATTGACGAAAAGGATCGACATCGCTAATGCAGGACACTTTAAGACATTTTGATTTTTTCACTCCTCCCAGTTCGGACTCAGTCGAGGGCCGCTGTCTCGACGCAATATGTTAAGGCACTTGGAAATAACCCTCAGTGATGATGTGCATGTAGGTTGGTAGACATGAGTTGTTTTCGGTGGATCAGAGGATATACCCTAAATGCAAAAATAGAACCCTCGATGCGAATCCAATGACAAGAGTGGGATTTGAACCCACGCGGACATTCGCCCATGAGAAAGGAAGCGCTTGAAAGCACTTGAGTCACACGCCTTAACCGCTCGGCCATCTTGCCATCACAATGACTGCCGTAGGATGTATCGAGAACAGCATTCTTGGCTCAAACGCGTCTTTCAAGTTGATTGCGAAGATTTCCAATCTAATTTTCTACTGGTGTGAAAATTTGCCGGAGATTTCTTTATGCTACACTGGTGAAAAGAGGGTAAAGACCTCGCAGAGGAAGGTATCTGAGTCTGTACATATGGCATATACGAAAGAAGAGAGCGTGCAGGACCTTCAGTGAAATCATCAATTGAGAAGAGCGATGTCACCTAGATAGCATGTCACCTACTTATCGTTCAATTCTGCTCCAGCAAGGGAAATTGCAAAATCATCGTCAGCATATGCAATAGGCTTGTGTCTTTGCTTCACGACGGGCATTCAGGCTGCCAGAGTTCAACGACTATACACGCGCCTAAAAATATGTCTGATACCGCTCTTTAGACCCGACGCAGTTCCTCCGGCTCATCGTTTAGTTTGCTAAAGATGTTTAAGCTGACTTGATAATAGTACTTTCAAGTCTAAGTACTTGGAATGGAAATCGAGGACGGAGGTTCGAACATCTTGGGAATGAGCAACCTGCAACTCTGGTCTAAAATGAAGCTCAGCATCCCGCACTCAGCTCTTAGTTACACAGTCTGCTCTCTAACACCTGTCTTTCGTCTCACTTTGACGTTTAGAGTCGCGTTCAAGTATTCAGACTCGATTACACGTGATCGTAACTCTTTTACCACGGCTAAGCGCCCGCCCTAGGTTTTTGGTTTCAAGTTCTCGACCACCACTTCGCTCCCGGTTGTTGCAGGCGACGTCCAACTTTTCTTGATATTTCTTGGTCTTAACGACTTCTGGAGACATGGCTGATGATCGCGAACCTCATAACTTCAAAAGTACGGCCAACTCCACGAAAAACGTCTTTCCTTTCTCCAATCAGCATTCACGAAACTCGCAGTCAGGACAGACATCCAACTTCTCTCTGTTTCAAGCTATAGCTCAACGTTCCAAGAATAATGTACGAGAATCTCATCCTAATCAACCCCATCAACGCATATTTCCGCCTGTAAATTATTCGACTCCTCAAAGTCCAAGAGCCAGGATGGAGATGACTCCCTGTAAGTTATTCCAAAACTTGCGCAGGAGCGTATGAACTAAGTCTTCTAATCAAGCTGAGGAATCTCATGATTACCCATCCGACGAGGCTCATGCTATCCAACCTAGCATACATTCGCAAACCGGAAGTCAGATTCACGTCATGGAAAGTCATCAACTTCGTTTCATGCCTATGCCCAAGACAGTCGAACGTGGGCCGCCCTCCCGTGCGCCGTCAGAGGCTCCGAGTATGGGCTCTGTCGTAGACGCTGACTCGGAAGACCTTGATTTTTCGGAGATGATGAACAGGAAGATAAAGGAAGGCAAGCTTGTCAAATCCCAGTTGGCAGAAGAGGTAAGTGTCTTTCAATGCCTGTATATGCGCTCTTTTCGATCTCTTTTTAGCGAGTCGTCAATGCAAATCTTCGATCCGAACTCTCTGTCATCAAAGCCTCGTATGAAGATCAAAAACAGTCTATCGCAGAGCTTGAGGCCGCAGCAGAAGCGAGTCGCGAACATATCGATTCTAAAGACGCACAACTTCGTCAGCTTCAGGCATCGCTCGATGAAGCTCAGTCAGCGAAGGACTCTCAACTTACCCTCATCAGCCGCAAAGACCAAGAGATTCTTGCAGGGCAAGAGAAAGTCGGCACTTTGGAGGTAAAGCTCAAAGAGGCGGAGGATCGGGTCGCTAGAGTGAAAGAGAAGACTAAAGAAAGTTTTGAGCTTATGACCAAGAAGTCCGTGTTTCCATTTTTCTAGACACATCCTGATCGTACTGAGCTTTATTACAGTTTCGATTCGCTCAAGAAATCTGTCGAATATCTGAAAACTCGTTACGAAATGGCTAATGAGACGGTTCCCAAGATGTACGATGAACTCGAATCTTTGCGGAAGATATCGCAGAACGGTTTCAAGGGTGTGCACCATTCTCTTCCTCGTCTGAGGTCAGCTTAACCTTTTTCCAGAGCTTGAACCATATATGGACAGCTCCGGTCGCCATCTGATCAAGGCCACGGAGACTCGCAACCTTATCGAAGAACTGCAGACGGATCGTCATAATGGTAGCCTTTTGGCTTCGTGGATAAAGGTTGGAGCTCTGATAGTTTTTACCTAGCCCAACAGGTCATCCAATTTCTCCGAGACAAGCTTCACAATCAGAGCACGGAGCTCGCGGAAGCTAACGAAAAGGTGGCCGAAGCGGAACTTCACAGGAAGGAGGAAGGCGATAGATTGTCCCATAGCGTCATTTTATTGGGGGCCGCAGGTGCGGGGATATTCTATTATTGATATCTACTCCTCTTTGCTGATTCCGGTTCAGGTCAACAGATTGAAGTCGTCGCGTCAAAGCTTGCAAAGCGTGAGCGAGAAGATGCCGAGGTTTTGACTGAAGGATTGAGGTTGGAGAGTCAGCTTGCGGAAGCGAATGAAAGGTTCGCTTCATGCTGATATGCAAGTCAAAATTCTTTCTGAGGAGTCGATGCAGAATCGGCAGCCTGTCCGAGAAGCTAGGGCAGAAAGAAGCCGAAGTGGAACGCCTGAAAGAGGAGTACGTGTCTCTGTTTCTGCTCGGGTCTATATTCAAGTTCATGTTTGGAGTAGAAAGCAGTCGTTGGCAACTGAATTGCAGGTGAAAACGGGATTACTGGAAGTCACGTCGAATCGTCTTAAAGAGTGTGTATCCCATTGCTATACATGGTGTAATTCTAACGAGCCTCTCAGGTTAACCGAGGAGAGTGTAGCTCATCAGCGCAATGCACAAACTAAGGAGGGCGAAGTGTCGGTCCTTAACGAGAAGCTCAGGGCGTCCGAGGAAAGCAAGGGTATTCTCCAAGCGGCGTAAGTTTTACATCTACTAACATCCATGGGGCGATGTTATCATGTGACCGCGTCTTTCTAGGGCCCGTAAAGATGCAGCCAAGATATCTGAACTCGAGGATACGGTCCGACTCACCAAAGCTAGCGAAGCGAGTGCCAACGGTAGAGCCGCAGAAGCGTTGGACAAAGTCAAGGCCCTCGAGGCGGAGAAGATGAAGCTGAAGCGCGATTGCGATGCAGTCGATGAAGAGTAAGTGTAGAGTAAAAAGCGCTGATCCTTGCTGATATCTCTCTCATTAGATTACGCCAGATGACTGGTCGTCTCTCCGTGAGCCAAATGTCTCTTTGTGCAGGGTCATTCCTAACTTTCCCGTAGGTTTTGCAAGAACGCTTCGATTCCCAGTCGATGACCCTCAAGCTCGCGAAAGAACATAGCGGTGATCTTCAGGTAATCATCTCCCTCCAAAGTTCGTTCAAAATCTAATTTGGCCACACAGGAACGATTGCTCCTCAGCGAAAAGGCTCACGCGGTACGCTTTTTGGGACACTTCCTCGCGAATAGAATCTCAATCTATAACTTTAGACGAAACTCGAATCGACCCATGGACAATACAAGGCGGAATTGGCTGTTCTCGAAGAACAGAAGAACAGTCTTCAGAATGCAACCGCTAGACTACGAGATGACATCAGCAAGTTGGATTCTACGGTCGAGAAGTTGCGAGAGGAAAGGGCGGCTCTCCAGGGTTCTCTCGAGCGTTACCGCCACGAGAACACCCGACTCGAATCCAACGCCGATATTCATACTTCTGAAATTTCGACCCTCCGAGAGCGCGTCGCTGTCCTTCAAGACCAGACGTTCGACATAGCTCGACTCAAAGACGAGTCTGCGTCCCTTCAGCTCACGATTTCCAAGCAAACGTCCGAGATTGCCGTGTTGAACACTGAGAAGACGGTTCTTGAGAAGAGTGTGGAGAAGCATGTTTGTGACATTGCTGGATTGCAATGCAAGTTGATGGAGTTGCAGGAAGAGAGGTCGTCGCTGAGCGAAAGGGTGGGGGCGTTGATCAAGCAGGAGGAAGCGAGTGAAAGGGTGCTGAGTGTTGAGATTAAGAGGGCAGAAGCTGCGGAGCAGGGTCTGACGGAATTGACCAAGGAACTTGCGAAGAGAATTGGGAATATGGAGACGCAGCTTGAAACGGCGCAGATTGCGGCGGCAGCAGCATCGGTCAAGCCGAACAGTGAACAAGAATCGATGGAGGTGGATAATGCGAAGATTGAGGAGCTAGAGTCGGAGATTGCGCGTTTGAGGGAGCGCGAGACGAGTTTGGACAAGAGGTATCGCGATGGAGAATTGGTGAGATTTCGTGTGCATGTCATGAATAGCTTAGCTGACGGAGGTTTGCTCAGAGCGACTCGGAGAAGGAGTTTGTGAATTCCTTGATCAAATTCTCGCAGGATATGCACGAGAAGGAAATGGTCGCGAAGGAGAACGAGCTGCGCAGGGTGCGTTTTTCGAGATTTCCTACTCTCCTACTCGTATAGGGCTTTGGTACTCACTGTTCTTGCTCTATTATTATTAAAGCGCGACAATATGAACACTACTCTTCAACAGAAAGTTGACAAACTTGCATCGACCTTGGCCAAGGTCCTCAAAGGTCAAGGGAATGGTAATGTTGCCCTTGCTGGATCGAAGGAAAAGTCGATGCTCGATTTGGACATGTGGATGTCCTCCCCGTTGACGGATACTGAACAGGTATGATTCATAGTTGTTGAATTGATTATTTCATCTCATCCTCAATGCGTACCAAGCATATTGTCGACGCGGTCCCAACTGTACCCATCGCTACAGGTTCTGTCCCTGCCCGATTTCCCTTATCCTCACCGTCTGCTCTGGCTCAGGTGAGGCCCTCAACTACAAGGCCAGCTCGAGCATCACCTCTGTCTCCTGCTCCGCAACGGGAACGGGGACCTGGAGGAGGAGGAGAAGGAGTAGTAGGCGCAGGAGGAAGATCAACAATTGCGGCCATGAAAGCTCGGGAGAACGCGCCTCCGTCTTCTGCGCCTTCAGCGACCCCAACGTTTTCTAAGCTCGAAGAGGATATATCGGATTTC